AGCCTACTTTCTCCATAGGCTCCACCCCCCGGGCAATGATGAAGAGAGGCTAATTCTGAGTGGGAATCCTGGTAGCTGTGAGGAGCTTGAGCAGGGGAAGAGGGAATCCCTTTTGCCCGTACGTTGCGTGCGGCGTCAGGAGCGTCGGTAGACGTCAGGGCGTCATGGCCTCGCCTCCCGGAAGTGATGCTGGGAGACTAAGCCCGAGTGGCTATGAGGCGTTTGAGCGGAGTGGGCGGGAGAAGCGGGAATCTCTTTTGCCCGTACGTTGCGTGCGGCGTCAGGAGCGTCGGTCAACGTCATGGCGCTTGACAGCTGACCCTCTCCGTAGGCCCCACCCCCCGGAAGTGATGCAGGGAGGCTAAGCCCGAGTGGGACTAGTTCTGGTGGCTGTGAGGAGCTGCTTGAGGTGAGTGGTTTGGACCCTCTCTCTTGCCGTCCGTTTCGGGGCTGGGCGGCGGTGGCTTCTCCTCACAAGGAGCCTGGCTTCCCTTTCGGCTGGAGGGCGGTTTGTGAGGGAAGGTTCGGCTCCAGAGTCCTTTCCTCTCCCAGCCTGGAATGGGGACCAGTTCTGAGGGAGCCCCTGTTTCCCTCAGCCAAGGAGGACCGAGGAAAGAGGGACTGGGAGGCTCTCACCCCTTCCGCCTCGCTTGGGGAGCCTCTCTGCCCTCAGGAAAGGCCCCACAGAAGGTCCCAGTTTCCTCACACACACCCCATTCCTCAGAAGGTGAGTTTCATAGCTTTCTTTTTTTAAAAAAAATAGGTAACATTTCACGACACACAATAAAAAGTTTGACAATGCATGTTATACAATATACACTCTTCGCTGGGATTAGGGGCACAGGACCCCCATGAATGTGGAAGAACAGCAAACAACAAAAACACTATGTTTTTACCTGAGAGAACACCTCTCTAAGAATTTCTAGGTCAGGGATAGGCAACTTTTCCCCTTTAAGGGCCGAGGGACTTCAGCTCCCAGAAGCCTCAGCCATGTTGGCCAATAGCTCCTGGGATTCTGGGAGCTGAAGTCCCTCGGCCCTTAAAGGGGAAAGGTTGCCTACCTCTGCTCTAGGTCCTCCAGGGCAACTCTGTGGTCAACATCTGCCAGACATTGACCATAGAATTGCACCGGAGGAGCTACCAATGCCTAGAGAGGTGTTCTCTCAGGTTAAAACAGGGGTAGGCAACCTTTCCCCTTTAAGGGCCGAGGGACTTCAGCTCCCAGAATCCCAGGAGCTATTGGCCAACATGGGACTATTGGCCAACATGGCTGAGGCTTCTGGGAGCTGAAGTCCTTCAGCCCTTAAAGGGGAAAGGTTGCCTACCCCTGGGTTAAAACATAGTGTTTTTGTTCTCTCTCTGGAGTGTTCTCTCTAAAAATCTCTAGGTCTTTCAGTGTGACTTTTGGTTAAAGTTGACCGTAGGGTTGCACTGGAGGACTTACATATTCCTAGAGAGAACATATTAATAAAATCCATGAATAATCAAAGCCGCAAAAGTCGAAACCACAGATGTGGAGGGGTGAGTATAGTAAAAGATTAGAACAATGTAATTTTAGCATGACTTATGAGAAAATGAGATTAAAAAAATAATAATTACACTCATCCCTCCACATTTGCAGCTTTGACTTTTGTAGCTTTGATTATTCACAGTTTTTTTTTACTATGTTCTCTAGGAATATTTACAGTAGATCCTCCAGCGCAACTCTATGGTCAATTTTAAACAAAAGTCGCACTGAGAAACTAGACATTTGTAGCTCCTCCAGTGCAATTCTATAGTCATTGTCTGCCGGATGTTGACCACAGAGTTACACTGGAGGACCTAGAAGAGATTCCTAGAGAGGGGTTCTCTTTAGTATTTTTATTATTTTGCAGTTTTTCCACATTCACGGGGGTCCTGTGCCCCTCACCCCAGTGAATGTGGGGGGATGAGTGTATACCATTCTATAACGTTGTGTAACATTGTAATATTCTAACTATCAAAACTTCCTTACTTCCTACCTTTCCTTTCTTCCTGCCATTCTACTTTCCCACCTTCTCTTGTAATACCTTCTACTAGTTTCTCTTCCCAGTTCCTTACTTCACTCCTTCCTTTCCATTCCCTCTCCCCCATACTCTCTTCCTTCTCATTCTTCTCTTACCTCTTCTTCCTACCTTCTCTTATCCTCTCCACATTCTCTCTTCTTTCTAATTCACACACTCTAACTTTCCTACACTTCCCTCAACTTTCATTCTTCCTTCTTTTCTACCAGTTATCAGTTTATTTCCTTCTACTCTCTTTTGACTTTCAATTACTATTCTCTCTGTTGAAATTCATTCTGTCTTTACTTCTTCTTAAATTTAGAAGGTGAGTTTTGATGGAGTATCTAGCCCCCCCCTTTCCTCATGGAAAAAAAAAAAAAAAAGGAATCCCTCCTCTCCCCTTTTTCCAAGGGAGGTCAGTAGTGAGAGACTGGTGGTGTTGAACTGCAGCTTCCAGCAGCCCCAGCTGGCACAGTTAGGATCTTTGATCCAAAACACACTGCAGAAGTAATCCATTTTGAAGCTGCTTTATCTGCCCTGGCTCAGTTGGAATTTTTGTTGCAGCCTTCCCCTGTGTGGTGCCATCTTGTTGTTTTGGATTTCAGTTCCCATCAGCCCACTCTATGGTCAGGAATGATGGTGGCTGTAGACTGAAATACCTGGCAGGCATGAAGCTAGTTTGTAGAATAAGAAGATGGCAGGCTTTCTCATCTTGTTTTCCATTGTAGGACTAGTTCTGGAGTTGCTAGTGCCTCTCTATGAAAGGTTAGTTGTCCTTGGGTCCAAAACACACTGTAGATATAGACTACTTTGAGGCTGCTTTAACTGCCCTGGCTCAATGCTAGGGAATCCTGGGATTTGCAGTTTATTGTGGCACCAGAGCTCTCTGACAGAGAAGGCAAAATGTCTCACAAAATAGAAATCCCTAACATTGAGCCAGGGCAGTTAAAGCTGTTTCTGACTGGATTATTTCTGCAGTATGTTTTGGACCTTTGTTGTTGTGTGCCTTGAAGTTGTTTCTGACTTATGGCAACCCTTTCACGGGGTTTTCTTGGCAAGATTTGTTCAGAGAAGGTTTCCCATTGCCTTCCCTTGAAGCTGAGAGAGTGTGAGTTGCCCAAGATCACCCAATGGGTTTCAGGGCCAAGCAGGGAATAGAACCCTGGTCTCCAGAAGGGTAGAATGGAGAGATATAGCCATGTTAGTCTGTAGAATCAGTATATAAAGAGAACTTGTAGCACCTTTGAGACTAACTGAAAGAAAGAAGTTGGCAGCATGAGCTCATGCTGCCAACTTCTCAAAGGTGCTACAAGATCTCTCTCCATCCTGGTCTCCAGAGTCCTCGCCCAACACTCCACCACCCTGGTCAGTATCTGCTGTGCCACAAGTTGGCAACCTGGGCTAGGTGTTTAAAAAGATTTGTCTAAAGCCCAGCTGTGTGGATGCTTGTTGATAAGGAACACTAAATTCGTAGGGATTGACTCCCAGCTAAGTGAATGTATGATTGGAAGCAGCCCTTTCAGATATGACTTGGTGTGTATGGGGAGGTTAGTAGCTAACCTGGTGTTTTCATAATGGAATAAATATAGTACAGTACGGTTAAAAGACGATAACTTTCCTTCCCAATACACAGTTTTGATTGAGTGAAAGGGCTCTCCTTCCTCTTCAGGCTACATGTCAAGGGTTCACTGAGAACCCAATTCAGGCCAGGTTTATTCACATAATTAACGTTTCATGTGTGACTTTGAATGTGTCATTTGAATTAGTGAGGGTAGGAGTTGCCATGTCAGTCTCCATGGTGTCTTTAGAGCAGGCAGGTATTCACTCCCAGTGCGCAACTTTCTCAAAAACAGTTCCCTCCACTACTTTCTCAGACTTTCTGGGAATGTGAGGAACTACCATGTTTGGTTGTTCTTTTTCTTTTTTGGGGGGAATGGGGTTCTTTTAAAGTCAGGTATGAAAGTTCCCTTAATGAGTAGAGGGAGATAATCGCTTTGTTTTGTTGGTTTGTAGAGTTGTGCTCTTCAAAGTTGGGCTCACGCTGCCTTGTCATCTGTATTAATAGTTTTTTGTTTTGTTTTGGATTAATCTCTGTAAGGGTATATTGGAAACATATAGACTAGGCCTGGGAAACATTTGCCTGTCCAGATGTTTTGGCCTAAAGCCCTCTTCAGACCTGTCTAGCATGGTCGGTGGTAAGGGATTGTAGGCACTGTCGTCCAAAACATCCAGACAGACAGCCATTTCTCTGCCCAAAAGTGTCTTTTTATTCCACTACTGGTCGAAGGATCCCATACCCAGTCCCCATTCCTCAGAAGATCAGTATATTGGGCTTTGATAGCAATGCATCATTATAAGGGTAGTTTCATGTATGCCACTGAATTTCATGTGTATCCAGCTGTAAAAAACCAGGATGCTGGATTGGGGTGGGGGTCTCTAGTCTGAATTATGCCTTCAGGCATTAAAGATTCCTTAGGTGTGAAGGATAGGTGCCACCTGAAGGCTTGGCCATGCAAACCCACTGAGTGACCTTGGGCAAGTCATACTCTCAGCTTTAGAGGGAGGCAAAGGCAAACCCCCTCTGATGAAATCTTGCCAAGAAAACCCCATGATAGGGCTGCCAAGAGTCAGAAACAACTTGAAGGCACACAACACCAAGCTGCAGTAAGTTGGATAAAGAAAAAGAAAAAGGAGGGGAGTCCCACTTACACAGTAACACAAGTTTTGTTGTTGTTGTGTGCCTTCAAGTATTCATATCTGAAAGGGCTGCTTGCAGTACTTAGTTGGAAGTCAGTCCCTATGAATTTAATGTTCCTTATGAGCAAGCATCCACACAGCTGGGCTTTAAACAAACCCCTTTAACACCATACGTTTCTATCACAGGGTTTTCTTGGCAAAATTTGTTCAGGGGAGGTTTGCTATTGCCTTCCCCTGAGGCTGAGAGTGTATGATGTGCCCAAGGTCACCCAGTGGGTTTCGTGGCCAAGCTGGGAATCAAACTCTGGCCTCCAGAGTTGTAGTCCGACACTCAAACCACTATGCCACACTGACTCACTAAAAGTTTGCCTTATTAGGGGTCAAGCAGACCCACTGCTTGGAGCGGCCTCTGACCCCTGCAGTGCTGGTTGCTCCCCATTCAGCGTGGGATCACAGCAACCAGATGCCACAGTCCCAAGACAAACCGCTGCCACAGTCCGCAATGAACACTTCTTGGGTACCCCTTTTGTGGCCAGGTTTGGGCTACCTTAGGCGGCCACGGCACAGCTTCAGCCTGATCCAGGGATGTGTGTCATCTGAACCCTGGATCGGCTCAAAGGTGACACTTTTGGCCCATCTGTTTTGGACCTAAGTGAACATTATGATCTGTGTTAGTGTTTTTGAGCAGAGGTGATAGTGATTCTGGAGAACTGAGTGTAAAATATAGGGTGAGGGGTGGCTCTATGCAAGGTGCCAGTATATACCCTTGGATATAGCCTTGGATTTAAACAGAAACTCAATTTGTTTGTAGGGCGGCTTGTTTTGGGGCCCAGGTATAGGATCCACCTGTATCACAGTGAAGCTTGTGGTAGTTGTCCTTGCAGAATACAGTCGGTCTTGGTGCTTGGTAATACAGATATGGTAGTGAAAATATGCTTTACTTTGTAGTGCGAGTGAAACAAGAAGTGGGATTTCCCCAACTGTTGAAAATGTCTTTCCCTCCCTCCTCCCTTTTAATTGGCTGGATAGGAAACGTGCAAACAAAATGCCACATTCCAGTGTGGTTTGCTTTTCCAGTACTGTATTATTCATATTCTCTTCCTTTCTGAAGGGTGTGGAGGCAGCCTTTTAAAAAAGCATCACGCCCTGCCCCCAAGGGATTTAGGGTTTGTGTGAGTACTGAGTTCAGAGGTGTGTTTTTCATGGAATAAATAATGTTTATTTTGTAAACAAAACAAAACAAATAAATCCATTTTTCTAATACTCTAAATACTTCCTTTGTGTGGTATATTTTTGGATTTCTAAAATAATGTTATGCCTAGGCAGGGTAACAAAGTGTTATTCCCTAACAATTTTGATTTAAATAGAAAATTTCTATTCTTCTTTTTGTACAAAATAGAAAATTCTATATGATGTAATTGGAAGGATGTCCTTTTATGAAGGGGAGTGAAGGCTTTCATTATTAGGAAGTGCTGCTCTTTAAATATTTAAAATTTAAAATTTTATATAGTGATGATTCAGAAGCTTTAGTGCAGGTTGATCTTTTTTATTTTTTATTTGTTTTGCAGAGAGTAATAGAAGACTGCTTGTTCAATGAGAAATGGCCAAGAATTGTAACCAAAGAGCAGTGGTTAAGCAAACATGAACTGGAAGCTGTTTCCTTTTATGGCTACCATAGAGAATAATGTTTGTACTCTTTGGGCAGTTTGACTAAAACAATTGATGCTCTGTCTCTTCCAGTATGGCTTTGGAGTCCAGTGGGATACCTACCCCTTAAATTCTTTGAATATCCTTTAGAACCACAGAGTTCTTCTAAAGTTCCTGGAAGCTCTCCTTTTCTTTCTTGCTTGCCCTGCTGTATTAGTTGGACATACAAACCTCTTGAGGAAGACCTTCAGGTTAATCTTTAGATTGGTTTTGTTGCACTTTACCAGCTGGCATTTCTTTCCTAGTTGGCATTGCATTCTCATTGTTCTTTCCCATCCCAGGGGAGGGGGCGATTTGTATACTTAGTAATTTGTGTCACCCATTCAGGAGGGGCTGGCCGCCTTTGGAGATGTATCTGAAGCTGGAGAGTTGGAGCATATATTAGCTGCATGTAATTACCATAATTTGTAGGTCACTTTCATAGATGTGCTGGGTGCCAAGTTGCAACAGATACATGCATTGCACAACGATGGTATTTTTGGTTTTGAATTGTTAACCCTGAATACGCAGACAAACCTTCCTTACCATTAGAATCACATATGAATTGGCTTTGGAAAGCGCATGCCTTTCAGCAACTATCTCTGGAACTCAGTGTGAACACCAAATCACAGACACATGTCACTTTTAACACTTTTGGAGTGTGATGGCTTGGCTCTTGTTGTTCTCTGTAGCATTGTCAAATCTACAGTCTTACAAGCGTTGATCTGAGCGGTTTACATGCCCTGTGTTGCTTCTCTTCTACTTTGTCTTGTGATTGACTGTATGCAAGCAGACACTCTACCATAGAAACTACCCATCCTTTTTCTTTTTATGCAGAGGTTTCTGGTTTGTTTGTTTTTTAAAAAAGCACAGAACACCTTCAGGTTTCTCTCCGTAATTTATTTATAGGTCATCCTGTTATTTTATAGGTTGCCCTATTAAGGGCCTAAATACCCTAAAGCAGGGGTAGGCAACCTAAGGCCTGGGGGCCGGATCCGGCCCCAGGCCAGTCCTGCTGCCCCCGCCGCCACCGCCTGCCATGACGATATTGATTATTGTTATTACTTGTTCT